ATTTTGCTATGTGGGCAGGATCAGAAAAATGTGCCCCTACCTGACAATCTGCCAGCTCCAAGTCCCCAGCAGGTGCAGCCTCATACACACTAGCCGTGTATTCTTCGAAGTAGTCCCCAATGTAGGGGGCGTGAGTGAAGTGGACCTTGAGCCGCTTCTCCTCCTTGGCCCCCAGCCGGAAAAAGCTGCTCTCGAAGCGGAAGTTGTGCCCGATCGCATCCAGGCACTCGCTCAAAACTGCCGCAACTTCCCCTAGCGGGTCTGACGCCGGACTCTCCCTCAGGCCCTCATCCGGAATGGAGCGCAGCTGCAGCCGATCCACGGCTTTCCGCAGGCAAACAGTGCACGCCTTTAGGCCCTGATTGGTGAACTGCAAAGGAGGCAGTTAGTGGCGCAAAGCAACTGTTCAACCACCAGTGCCTTGACTAGCTGGAAACTCCCCCGATCATCGGCTTTCCAGATGGGGATCCGGCCAAAGTGCACCGACTTGCGCTCGATGCTCAATTGGCAATGCTTTGGGACGCACTGGATGGGGATTTCCAGCTTGGAGTACTCACAGAGTTGCGTGTCCAGGCTCAGAAGCACCAGTTTGCCTGAGTACGCTCTGACACCGTCAAAGGGCTCAAACAGCACGGAAAAACGCGCTTCACATCCAGTGTAGAGCTTCTGGATTCCCGAGCTCTCCACGCTGAAGGCCACTTGGTCAAAGGCATCCGGGAAATCCAGCCGAAGGAACCTGATCTTCCTGATGTGCCCACTCACGTTCCGAACGGTCACAGTTCTTCTATAGAGCTGGTTCTGGCTGAAGTTCTACACATATAAAAGATAATCTTGGATAGTGCTGGAGGAAATGTACCCACCTCGAATCGGACTAAGGATGGTTCCCAACTGAGGCCGCTGTCTTCAACTTCAGCATGCTGATGCGAGCGGTTCAAGTCCCGATTTTCCATGGCACACTCCAGAACCCCGAATTCCTCGATCAAGTCCACTAAGTCGGGGATGTTTGCGGGCAGCAGCTTCTCCCGCGGGTTCCCCAGAGGAATGGTGGGCAGCACCAGTTTGCTAGCGGGTTTCTGCTTCTGCAATTTCCAAGTGAACCCCACAAAAGCTTTGCGCAAGCAACAAAATACCTTCGACTTGGTTTTCGGCTTCTTCACTTTGGGCGTCTTGGGCTTCTGCTTGGGGGCCTTTTGCTTCTTCGCTTGGCCTTTCTTGGAGCTCACCACCTCTTCAGCTTCAAGGACGACACTCGGTTCCACCTCAGCAGCCACTGGGTGGGCCTGGGGTTGCTGTATTTTAGTGCCCACAATCATCAAGTCAAAAACCCGCTCCACCAGCCTGGGCTGGGGCTTTGATGGTTGATGGGGGGGTTTTTTCAGCTTGTACTCCTGCACCAGCTTCTCCAAGATATGGATCCAGTTCTCCTGGCGTTTCCTTGCTTGTTCCGTGCTGTTCTGATGGCATTTCCTGAATTTGGCCAGCAGCTGCAGCTGCATCGGGGCGCTCAGTGAGTCCAAGTCGATCCCAAACTTGGCCGAGTACTTTTTCATTAAATCACGCTCGAGTTTGCTCTTTTCGGTTTGCGTCTTCTTCCTGGTGCATTCGAAGATTTTGCGCGCTTCAGCAATTTTGCCCTGAAACGCATTCAATCACTTTCAACCAGAATGTGTGGAAGCAAATTACTTTAATGATCTGAATGCTGCGCTCCTGCTTCTTCACTTTTGCGTCTCTTTGAATTTTCGCGGCGTATTTCTCAAAGTGGCGCTCGAAGGCAACCATCTTTTTCTGAGCCGCCGTAAGCGGGTACTTGACGAGGACCTCCTGCCTCCGACACTCCACCACTATCTCAGAAGAGTCGCACTGAGTAGCAGTCGAGCATTTGCTGATGTTCCGCTTCTCCCTCATATAATCGGCGTATTCTTGAGAAGCGACGAAATCGTCGATGAAGTCATGGAGAACTTGGGTTTGCTCAATTTCCCTATTCTGCAGGCACTTCAAGGTTTCATCCACGGCTTCGTTCTTCTGGTCTTCATCATCAGCGTCGGAATAGGCGCCCAAAAGCTGCAGACAAGACATGTTTGCGGTTGCTTTCAACGTTTGAATGGCGCCACCGGTGAACGTTTGGCATTGGCCAGTTCGTATTCGCCATCGCACTTTAGGCGCGTTTATGCGACAGAGATGTTCAGGTTGGGTTCAGCAGGTTGCCTACCCAGTCAACCGGATCTTGTGTCTCGTCTTGCTTTGAAACCTGGTTCAGAAAGGGATGGATGTAGAGTGGGCCCTTTGGACCAATACGCATTTTTTCGTGTAAAAATATTCCTATATTTTTCGGGTGAAAATAACAACATAATGTTTAGCCTAGATCTAGTTAATGTCATCCAGATGCTCTTCGGATGCGACGCTGCTTTCGGTCGGTTTGACTTTAACGCCCTTTCTTGCGCTCTTCTCGCGCCAGGTCTTCCACCTCGGCCGGAATCACCTAAAACTTCAATTTGCGATCCCCCTAAGACACGTTGACGTCGTTTTTACCGATTTGGCGTCAATTTCCCCCAGGGCAATGCCAGGTTTGGGCTTGAGGAGTGCAGAATCCTCCTGCTTCTCCTTATTGGTCATTTCGCGGCTCCACTCCTGGAGCCACTGCTCTCCTGCAGGCTTTGGAGCGGTAGTCTACAACAAAAATCTTCGGCTATTTGAACGTTTCGACCCGCGCTTTGCTCGGACCTTTCCCTTCTGCTTCTGCTTCCGCTCTTTCTTCTCCTGCTGCCTTTTGGCGTACAGGGTGTTGCTCAGAGTATCCAGGGTGTTTCTCTTGCTCGCACCGCTATCGCCCTGATTGGCCAAAGGCTGGGTGTACGTTTGGGGTCCCAGTTCAGTCAGAACTTGAAAGTCCGCCCTGTCGCCCAGCCGGAAGCCCCATCCAAAGCGCGAGTCGGTTCCTGGGGGGAACACACCTCTTGTACTGGTTTGGGCGTTTTGAGGAGGGAGCGCTTACCTTTCTTCAAAGTGGGGATGTTGGAGTAGATCACTGATAGTATTGAAGGCAACTCGTCAGGGATAATGAAGCCCTGAAGGGCTGAAAATCCACAACTTACACAATGCGGTTGGAGCTGGCGCTTTACTCACCTTGGGAGTTGAGCAGCGCCCATAAAAGGCTGATTAACGCGACTTTCATTTTCATTGCCTACTGGGCACACCTGAGGAAAATGTCTTTAAACAATTGCGGCGTGGGTTTAATGTTCAAGAACAAACATCGAGCGACCTGCACGCGCACTGGGCGACTATAATTTCACTTTCATTTTCTTCAATGTCGTCGAGAAACTGAATAATTATGCCCGGCGTTACTTAATGACCCGGTGGTTTACATGGCTTGATGTAACATTAGCCGAGTAATTAGTTTTTGGACAAAACTTGCGCTTTTCGACCCGGAATCGAGGACTTTGCTCAAAAACTGAACTTTCCTTTTCGTTGATCAATCGCCGCTGACCGCACTGTCCTTGACCAGCAGTCTCAAATGGTGAAAGACTCATCAAAAACTTTCTTTAAATTGCTACATAATTAGTACAGCAGATGTTAGATGCAAGAAAACTGGATTTATTGCAAAGCTGGCAACGTGGGCTGCGTGTGCCGTTTACGGGGGTACGACTGGTTGCATAACAGTAGTATTCTTGGAATTGGACGATCTGCTTTAATCTCGAAAACCCCAAAGTGGGGCTGGGTTGGAGGCTTTGCGGCACCGTGCTGGACTCGAAAACAGCGTAATGGTGACTTCCCGTTCGATTGGGAGAAATTGTGGAGGTTTTGTGGTTTTGCAACGTGACAACCCGGCGCCTGCCAAAAGCAAATTGTTTGTTTTGTTGACACTGTCAAGCGACCTTGCTCAAATGGTTTAAAAACCCCCAGTAGTTTGTTAAACAATATGCGAAAAACCGCCGTAAAATGTTCATAAATCTACCCTATTTTGTGCTGCTGGGTTTAATCGACTCCACCTTGGGTAAGTGCAGCGGAAAGGCAATTTGGACCAAAATTGCGGTTATGTGCAAGATGCTAACAGTGGAGCCCCATTTCAGGCACCCTCAGTTTGCAAATCAACAAAAAGGCCGACAACACCTTCTACCCGGTGGCGACGCACGTGGAGGAGAGCGTGGGCACAACGTTTTCGCTGGTTTGCGAGCTCGTATCCACTGCAAATGAAACCCAGTTTGACGATCAGTTGTCTTGGGTGCGCCAGGATCAATTCTCCGGTCGGCAGGACCAAAGCGACGACATCAAGGAAATCAACAAGTCGGAAAAGCGATTCCAGCCACTGCTCAAGGAGGACAAGGGCAAATATCTGTGCGTCAGCAACAAGTTCAATCTGAACAAGGCAGTGACTGTGGTGGTGCGGAATGACGTCCCCAAGGAGCGCAAGTCTTTCATGAGGATTTCCAAGACGAGTTTTTGCAACCCGCATATGTTTACCGTAAGCACCTGCCTTTTTTGCCATTTAAAAGGCTGGCAAGAGCCTTTTCAATGTTAAACCCCATGTTAAAAGACTTCAATTTCAGTGCAGATCCAATGGCTTGTGCATCATCCAACATTACGTTTGTGATGGGATAGCGGACTGTAAGGACGGGTCGGACGAAAGCGTGGAAAAGTGCAATGGGGATCCTTGCAAAGGTATCGGTATCAACTACTTGCATTGAATTGAGTTTCCAACTGGAAAAATTCGTGTTCTAGATAAAATCCCGTGTGATTACGGCCGTTGTATCCCCTCCTCCTGGTGCTGCGATATTCATCACGACCCCAACTGTACAGTCACCAACAGGCCGATGTGCTGCCAAGGGCTTTCAGAGTGTAAGCAACGTTACTTCACAGCAGTCTTATTTTAACTTCCGCAAATTCCAGCCTATGAGGAGCGGGAAATGATGAGTTTCCCCACCGTCACCCAATCCCAGCAGACTGCCCGATATCTCTTCATTCTTGTCTGTATGTATGCCCCTCACTATGTCCAAGCGGTAAATGAATGGATGATTTCCCTGCTCCCCAGGTGTGGTCAGCATCCTTTTCTCCGTCATCCTGTTGCTGCTGATCATCTCCAAGGTGGTGATGTTCGCGAAAAAGGCGGCCGTTCAACAGCAGCAGGCGCGAGTGTGCGAAAACATCGCCCTTCGGAACCAGACGAACATCAACGTGATCCCTTGCAGCCTGTACGCGTACGGGAGCTCCAGAACGCCGCGTAATGAGCGCATGGTTCGCAACATTATCATCGATTCTTCCGATGTTAACGACCCGTTGCTGTTCAATCCCTCCAGGTGGGCGAAGCCCACTCATTGCAAGTTGGGGGATTAATCTCGCTTTTTGCAGGTTTAATGTGATAAATGCCAGCGAAGCTTTCGATCAACCGCCCTCCTATGTGGATGTGCTGCGCACTAATCGGTTGGTAGCAGAGCCCCCGCCTCCATACAGGAGTCAGGAGGTGATCAATCTCACAAGCGACGTGGACCGAGCCAATTAACTGTTAACATATCAATCAATTTTCAATTGGTGTTAAGGTGCTGTTTTTTTAGATCTTTCGGTGCAATGCTGACGCCTGTATATATAGTATATCGTGTACTTATTTGATAAATTTGTTTTCTACTGAATGTTGCGCAATTGACGGGGAAGACAATAAGGAATTGAATCATATCACTCGGGAATGTTAGCTTTAATTGCCACTTGTTAAACGTGCAAGACTGTTAAGGAAATGTCCTAGTAAATCGTCTATTTTTATTGAAATATACTCGAAATTAAACAGTGGTCAGTCTGTACTTAGGCGCATCACAGCTAGTGGCTCGTAGAATCCATCCGACCCACGCAGACTCATATGGGATAAGTGAACAGCATCAAAGCTGCAATGCCCAAAGTGGAAGTCTTTGAACCTTTCCATGATTTTCGTGGCATCGACGCCATGTCTCGTCCATTTCCCCTTGCAGCTTTTTCTGTACTTGCTGTTCAGTACAGTCATGTGCAGCTTAATGCTCCGCGGGTCCTTCCTAGCCAACCCTCTTTGGTAGAAATGCTCCGCAATGCCATCCACAACCGCCTGCAATGTAACTTGCTGGCTTTCGTCTCGAAATCTAGCATTGGCATAGAGCACGTTCACGTTCTTCAGATTGCTGTTCATGCAATCCAACGTCCCGATATCCAGGCTCATAGGCCCGGTCCTTTGCAGCAGTTCCTCTAAAGTTGGCCGGTACTCTTCCAGCGCCTTCACTGCCTCAGCTCGCTCGACTTCATCGAACAAAGAGTACACATCAATCGTAACATGCAGCTTCAAGTGGGACATAAAGATGCTGGCATCCAAACCGGGAATTTCGTCCTGCATGCTTAACAGTTGGCTTCTGAGGTACAAAAAACTCTTCTGAATGGTCGGGTGGGTGCAAGGAATACAGGTGAACTGTAACGGAGCGGATTTCAGCCGCAATTGGGTTACTGTTGAGTGCAGGCGCCCCAGGGCTTTGGCCAGACTCGCTTTATCGTCATTCTCCACTACAATTGTGTCATCGGGCGCGAGACTGCTGGACAATTCGGAGATTTTGCTCAATCTCGGATGGTACCACTTGGGCAGCTTGATTTTAGCAGAATACCTGTTTAATTCCTGGGTTATGTCGAGGTGTTCCAGTTGCTCTTCGTTCATCACGCAGTCCTGGGCCTGCTTGAGCCGTTTGGGCGGCTCAGGAACGGTAAAAATCCGCCCGTTAATCCACATTTTAATCGGCCTGGCAGTTTTCCTGGACATTTTCTCGCACTTTTTTCGACATTATCCATATCACTTGACTACGGGCGCGACTTTTGTAAGGCAACAACACAGCTTAGATATCATCAGTAATCATAACACTTATTATTTATTATGGTGTGTTAACAACGCAATAAATTTTCTGAGGTTAGGACTCTGTTGATCTTTTCTCTCTTTTCAAATCGCTGTAAACGCCATTCGGTGTCTCCCTTCAGGGATCTGGATTTAGGCAAAATAAACATTGTGAGCGCTGTTGTCACTGATGCAACAGTGGGCGTTTTAAAAAAGCTCAACAATTCAAAATTATTATCTCCAGTGAATATCCCAAAGGTGTTTAAACAATGCAGTGGTTTTGACCACAACAACAGTGCTAAATAATGTTTTTCTCAAGGATTTTTAAAGTTGGGAAGCTGGATGCGGCAGCGCTGTCGCAAATCCGATTGCCTGTAATCGGCTTTTTCCGCCCCGTTCCCTTGCCCCGTGCCTTTGACAGGTTTTAAGACGCGCCCATGGTGGGGATGTAGGGGAAATTGCCGGAATCCTTTGTTGCCCCCCACCGCCCTCCAAATGTGACATAATAAATGATTTAATGCCAACTTGATGCGTTTTTGGGAATTGTTTTGTCGTTTGTTTGGCTTTTGATGGGCTTTTGGCAGGAAATCCAGGTCAGGGAGAAAGCCAAGTGGGCCCTGGCGGGTTGGAGAGCAAATTAAATCGCGCCCCTGAGGTGCAAATGACCGGCTTGCGCCTTGCCGGATTATTGATTGGCTTTTGTCTTCTTGCATTTACCTACATCGATTGAGGTGATTGCGTAAACGGCGCTGGACGATGTTCTTATGTAAAAATATGGAAACGACTGAGGTTGTGATGATGCATGAAAGAGTCAAGTCGCCGGGGTGTTCAGGCTTGAAGAGCCGAGTGGAGCCCCTAAAATTTTATTGGCTGTCGGTTAGACTTCACACCTCCTCCTCCAGAGCGAAAAAATTATTAGTATTAAAATCAGTATTAAGTCATTGTTGAGCCATTACTTCCTGATAAACAGGAATTTCCTTAAGCACGGCAACCATAGAGCCGAGAATCGCGCGAACGCGCCACTAACCTCAAAGCAAATGTTATTTTTTTGTGTATCATATGACGCCGTCGGCTGGCCAATGAGGTGACGGCATTCCCTGCTTTTGCCCAGAGTGTGCCCCGACGCAACCCGTGAAGTGAAAATTGTAAAAGGTACGTAGAATTTTATCGTTTTACCAACGAAAGTGCTGTAGACAGGATCCCAATGTTATTTATGCTTGTAAAAGGGCTGGAAAAAAGCCGATTTTTCGCAAACACTGTACCCGGGCCTCTGTTATGATCCAATGCGAGCAATTTTTACATGTCCTCACCTTGTAACCTTACTTATTTATCGATTTTTTATAACGCGTATTATATTGCCTGTCAATCACGATATTAAAATTAATTAATAGTGACCATTTAATTATGTTAATGGGGAAATTAGCGCTAAATGGTTGGGATTAAATGGAGTTTTCAAGTTTTTGGCCTAGATTCTAGATTCGGCCGCCCCACTCCGGGTTCGCAGTGCCCCATCCCCACCCCAAAAGTTGATTTATTTCCATGGAATTGAATGTTTCCTTTGATGGTGGGCGGTGGAATTTTATTAATGTTGACAGTAGGAACACGTAAAATCGTTTAAAATTCATTGAATTGTCACCGAATGCAATCAGAAGGGCAAAAAATGAATCATGGACGATAATAGGGGAATGCCGAAGTGATAGATCGGTCCATTTTTAGGTCATGGTGGGGGAAATGCTTTGATTGCCGATCCGTCGTAAGAACAAGGGACAAGAAAAAAGGAGCATCGTAAATGTAAAAGATGGCGGCACAATGATATCTTGTTGCAAATTTGCAATTTTTTGTTGATAAACAAAGCCTGCTGGCTGAGTGGCGCTTTCAATCTGGACGGGAGCGTGCTTGACGATGTGATTTAGTGGTACGTGCGTGTTTTCGGGCCCGAATCGCTGGTTAACTTGACAAAATCTACCCTTTTCTGTTAGGTTATGTTTGGGTTACAGATCTGCTTCATTTGTTTCAGGTGCAGAGAGGTGTCGAGCACATTTCGGCCCACCAATTCGACATCGAGCTCACCCAGTGGACATTCGCAAGTGATAGTGATTGTTAGACGCGTTTCGTCCACATTTATGTGAACTTTATCTCAAGATGAATCTTTGTCCGTTCGAAAAATAATGTTTCCCAGTTTTTTGCGGAATTTTCATTTAAACAACGAAAAGATGGCTCTGTTCGAGTTCGGTTAGAACACAATCGGTCTCAGCCTCAAACAATGCCTACAGTGACCGTAAGGTAGTCCTACATTCCAGGTGTAAATAATAATATGCGAACCATGTGCTTAAAACCAGTGATATAGTTCTTCGAGACGATTGGAAGTGCTGTGAAAAATGTCTCAGACCCCAAACAAGTCGCTCCAGAAGATGTGCAAATCACCAAAGAATACCAATTTTCACATTAAACAGGAAAAGATTGAATACGAGAACATGAGCACCAACTGCACAGTGGTTGGATCCAACAATCTGAACCTCGTCAAGAAGCCGCAACTGTTGGCCAATGTGTCGCCGGCCTACTCTATGCCGAGCCCCAACTATCCGCAGTCGCCCTACTCATCGCCAGCCAGTCTCAAGTCGCCTTCGCCCAGTCTCAAGCCCCCTACGCCCCAGCCCAACTTCCCGCTAATGCAGATCATCCACAACAATCTCGTCAGTCGCCCTTTGCCGGCTGCTCAACCGCAGAATATCATCAAACTGAAGCCCCATTTGAACATTCTACCAAAACCCAGTGCCAGTCCTCAACCATCACCCAAACCCAGTGTCAGGTACGTTTCCAACTTATTGAACAGGGAGGGAATGGTGCCCGGGAAGAAAACCCAATGATTTTTAGCTGATTCATAGTCGAAACGTTGGCCAAACAAAAACAGTTTTTTCCCTCGCAAATCCTTGATTTGCACTCATTCTCTATATGTTGGGGAACGTTTTGGTCAGGGCCAGTCTGAATCTAATTTAGTCTAGAATATAAGTCTTCTATAGGAATACCAGGTTATGAAAGGAAACTAATGATTGTGTCCCATGCATCCATTTGTACGACGATACGATGGTACGAAAGTGTTTCTATTCTGCTAACCAATAGAAACACTTTAGAACCATCGTATCATGGTACAAACGGATGCATGGAACACGGGCTTAAGTTTGATAAACCGGCGAATTTTCAAAATCCCGATATAACCTCGAAATCCCCCATATAGCAAAGGGGAGCAAAATTCCTGAAATTCAACACTTACCTTCGCAATGGGTAAATGTATTCACACTAGATAAGTTTCGCTGGAAATACCGGGCAGCGCTAAATATTCCAATGAATAAAAATAATGAATTCATTTTAATCTTAACTCTAAAATAATGACAACTTCATTTCTCATTGAATCGTTTAATGTCACTTTGTGCGAAAATAATATTTGTCATTGTCTTGACTATGCGTATCGATAGAGATGGTTGATGATGAGCGCTCTTTGCACAGTCTCAACAACGGACCCGTTAGAAACTGATTATGGCCTCTTCCAGTTCTATCGGGTTGAAGCTCATTTTCTCCGTTTTATAATTTATAGTCAAGTTCTTCCCTGGACTTGCAATTAATGTTAACGTCCAAAATGAACACAAAAACAAACGATGCATCGTTGACACTGCGTTGACAGCTCATCTGAGCTCAAATTCAACTCAAACACTAAAACCCCTCAAAACATGGGCTACGTGGGTGGCTCACAGGATCATTTAAGCCAAATATGGTCACTTTTTGATACACACATTACGAATAAGAACTGTTACCTTAAACACGCTCAGAGCTGTTCTGTGCTTATAGACTCATGTCCGCACGACAAATCCGCTTCAATACCAGCAACACTTAATTTACCACACTTCTCCATAACCATAGCGTATGCCCGATACACGGCGGTGTATTTTCCAGTGTAATTTCCCAATTTTCGCTGTTTTTTCTTCTGTTGAGCCATTCGAACACAACGTGCCAACCACATTGGCCAAAATTCCAATAGAGGGCGTCAACAAAACACACGGCTCAGCAGATTTCGAATAAAAAAGGGCGGCTCATTAGAGGATATGACGTCATTCCCTGTTAAATATTACGTTTTTCGCAAAGTACGCAAAAACAGATCAATAAACCGGCACAGAACATTAAATGGAAAAATGTAGAAAATGAAATGCGAAAACCAGATTTAATTAATGCTCGGAAAGCATTTGACTACAGTCAATTGGGTTTCAATAAAAAACGATATTTTGGTCGGTAATACATATTTGGAAAAAAGCATGGTTTATATTATGACCGCCCGTAGTCCGTTGGCTGTTTCACTCTCCAAACTCTTAAACACTTCTCTCACCCCAAAGTAAAAACTGTCTCTCTCTAGCTTTAGTCCAAGTAACGGTTTTTAATCCCATTGGTTGTTGCAGCCCCCAGATTGTCATTCCGACGGGAAATCAACAGTCAGGAGGCGCCACAGCCACCCTGATGCCCACCGCACAGCCGCTTCTCCTTAACCAGATGCAAATGTTGGCCGCCCCCGGTGTCCAGTTCATTCTGCGGCCGCAAACGGCCACCCAAATGGCAACTGCCGCCCCCAAGCTGCAAGTAAGCCGATGCCGCCCCATCCAGCTGCAGTCTCTCACTAATTCTGCCCAGTATTCTTCGCAGGCCAACTCGCAGGCCCCTCAAGGCCTAATCCTGCAGCCGGCCTGCGCCCCGCAACAGTTGCTGCATTTGGGCGCCCCAGCTAGGTCCCAACCAATGGTGCGGGTGCTGGCAAATGGCGTCCAACTAGCCCCGTCTACCACCACTTACGTCACCACACAGGTAATGCCGTTTTCCAACGTGCATCTTGCCAAGTTGCCAAAAAGATTGTAATTCTAATAAACTTCCGGATCGGTACCAGTGTTATAGTATCGTGGTCTGGTTGGTTATCGTTTAGCAAAAAACCCAAACCGACAACATCGGCAGGCTTGTCTGCGGGATGCTAAAGTGAAACCTCAAATGACATTTAACGTTAGGAAAATCAGAAATAATTGACAACAATCGGAGGCATTTTTAGTTTTTGGTAAAATGACCGAAAACATCGATTACTCCTGGGTTGGGCCCGTTTTTTTTATGTATTATAATTGGCAGATGCCCAATCAGCCCATCAATGCCACGCATATTCAGCAGACGATTGTGAACAATGCTCATCAGCAGCAGCAACACCAACAGCACCAACAGCACATCCAGATTCAGCAGCACGTGCTGAAGAAGAAGCCCAAGGTGAAGGTGAAGAAAAAATTGGACCTGGCCAATATTATGAAACTCTCAGGTATGAAGCTGTCGCGCTTCAGAGAGCGTATTTTCACTATTAATGTTCCAGGCATTGGAGACGAGGACGACATTCAGTTCGAGAGCGATACTTCGCAGAGTGAAAGCGATCACAACTCGGTACCTACGACTCCCCAGCCCCAGCAGCCCGTTACTCCTACTGGCAGTGTGCCGGGCCAGCATATGGGGTATGCGCAGCCCGACTCCAAGAAGAACATACAGAACATTCAGATCTCATCCATGCCACAGCCTACCATTAATGCAGCCACGCCTGTAGTACAGGTAAGCCTGTTCGCGCGTGCGGGGAGCCTTCTCTTCAATTACTCCTGTTCTAGTTGCTCAACCAGAACTTCCAGAGCGGCATGATTTCGAACAGCAGCTCGCAGGCGACTGCAGCTGCTCATGCCAACAGCGGCCTGCCCTTCAACTCCACATTTATCACTCCGAACTTCACCATCAACAATGGGCTAATGTTGCAAAGAAGCAGCGGATTCAAGCTGACGGTTGGCGAAGATGGACGGCTGGTTCTACAGCACGATCCCGCTCTGAATCAGGTCAGTTGACCCTCAATCTGATCACTTTCAGGGCCAGCTTCAGTCCTATTGGTTCAGCAACAGCAAAGCCCTTTATCAACCCCTTTGAAAACACTTTAAATTATTCGTTCAGGAGCTCCAGAACCAGCTAATTCTGCAAAGCCTGCTTGGACTGAATGGTAGTCTAGTACTGCAGCCCTCCATGGACCAACAGACAGTGCAGCAAACCGTGCAGACCATTCAGCAACAGTCGGTGCAGACCATACAGCAGCAGACAGTGCAGAGCCAGACCATCCAGACGGTGCAGCAGCAAACAGTGCAACCGCAAGTGCAGCACACTATACAGGTGAGTGGCAGCGCCTTATGCCAAAAGGCTGTGGACTTAAGCCCGTTGTAGTCGTTGCAGCCGCAAATACAGCAGCAGACTGTGCAGCAAACCATCCAGCACCAGACTGTCAATGCGCTGCAGCAGCCCATGCAGATCGTGCAGCCTCAGCCAATCCACAGCTTGCATTCACAAGTGAGTAAATGAGAGGTAGTGGTTATTTCGAGAGGTTAACATTGTGGTTGTTGCAGGTTCCTACTGTGCATAGCATTTCCCAGTCGCAGGTGCACAACCTGCAATCGCAGATCCAAAGCCTGCTTCAGCAGCAGCAGAATATAGCTGTCCAAGCGCAGGCTGTGCACCAGAACGTTCCTCAGAATGTCCACTCTCAAGTGAGTCAAGCCAGTGGAGGTTTAAATGGGGAACTAAGTGAGCGTTTTTCGTTACCGGACTTTCAGGCTATGCAAAACCTGCAGAATGTGCAAAGTATGGCGCAGGGCTCCGTGCAAAATATGAGCCAAAGTGCGGCGGCTTCTGTAGTTGCTCAAAGTGCCGCGGTTCAAAACATGACACAGGTACTAGACTAGCTTGCATTTCCGAACAGTATACGCACGTTAAAGGGTTTTAGGGGGTTCAAAGCGTCCAAAACATGCCACCAACACCGGCGCAGCCAATTCAGACCTCCGTGCACAGTGTGCAGGGATTCCAACAAGCGCACACTCAAACGACACAGCCGGTGCTGAAAGTGAGTGTTTCCTCTATTTCTGAAAATTCCCATTGCAATTCGCTCATTCAGGTGCAGCCCTTCCTGAAAAGCCAGCCGCCCGTTCAAACGGTGCAGCCCATTCAGCACCACTCGCACCCGCAGCAGCATAACAATATGCAGCAGGAGAACCACCAGCCGAATCCTCCCAGCAACTCCACCTCCTATGTGGTGAATTTAACCCCTGAGCAGCTTGAGCAGCTCAAAAGGTAATCTAGTTACTAGGTGTTTGAAGCTCAATTCAACCAACGTGGTTTTATTTAGAAATGGGCAAGTGACTGTGAACGGACAAACGATTTTCATGCAGCGTCCCAATAAGGACCAGGGCGAGAAGAAGCTTAGTCCCAAAATGAAGTCCGTGAAGAAAGTAAGTGAGGTAACGTGGGCGAGCGTGCGACCTTCCCTGCATCTTTCTAAGCGCTGTGGTTGCAGATCAACAAGATTCAAGGCATCAAGTCGCTGCTGCAGGACAACGTTCAAGGCATGGACAGTATGGGGGATCGAAAACCTGCTCCGGGAGGTATGGAGCAAATGAAGACTTCGCCTCCGCAGCACGTAAAGCCTGTGAGCAGCCCCGTCGCAGCCCAGCCGCACAAGCACATTCTGCCCCATAATCATGTGCAGCCGTTGCAGAATAAACCGCCACAGCCACAGGCTATGGTGCAACCATCAGTGCAGCATGTGGCTAAAATGGTACGCACTCACTAACTTTGCTTCATTAAGGGGGCTAAATGATTTAATCTAGGATCGGCAGAAAAGTCCCTTGCCGTCCCCCAAGCAGCAGAAAGTGAGCCCGACGATTCACTCATTGCAAGACTCGAACGGGACGAACTCCAGCCATGATGTGGATAAACTATTGGGGCAAATTCTGGAGGAAAGTGGGGGCGCCCTGGCCGCCAACGGCGGCAACAATCACAATCTGGAGCGGCAGCCCCAACAGGTCTGAAGTGCTGCAGACCCTTGATCGTTGGCTGACTAACGTTTTTTGCAGAGGATTACAACCATCCAGTTGACGCCCCAAAAGCAGCAGCATCTGAAGACAATTCAGATGCAGATACAGACATTGTCGGCCCGATTACAGCCCGGCGACACCGAGGTGCACAATGCGCTTAAAAGGCTCTTTGCTGAACAGCAGAAGATTCTGGCCTCCGGCAAGCTGCTGCCCCCTGATAAGGTGAGTTGCCGCTCCAGTCATTGGGTGCAGTTAGAACGCAATATTTTGGCCCACAGGTTTACTACCTGAACAATCAATTGACCATCGTCAATCCGTCCACGTTCAACCTGCCCTCTCCAGTCAGCTCAGTGAAAAGCGAACCGCCCAGTCCGGGATTGAGCGCCAACCACAGCATCAGTCGGAGCAACAGTGCGGAAGCTTCGCCGCCAACACCGCAGGTAAGAACTTCATCAACTTCCCTGAACGATTCACTCAATTCCGTCGGACTTGGGCAAGAGAGCGCGCAAAGATTATCACTATTACGATAAGATTGCGCTATCAAAACTCATTCTTTTAAAATAGCCGCCTTATCGCGCCAAAGTTATCAGCATTGCATTCAAGTTGATTGGCACTCGTTAAAACGTTAATTAACTGCTTCCAATGAGGATGTATCAGAATTACTACTGGGTCAGTTGTTATTATTACTGCGTATGTATCTTTGTATGCGGGTGTTCTGGTTCTTGCAAACTTGAGCTTGCGGGTGTTAATTTTTAAAATTGTTATAGCCAATCAGCTCGGGAGCCCAGTCCCACACTTCCCCACGGGTTTCAGTGTCCGTTTCCACCTCGACGGGCGACCTGCCCGCCCATTCAACTATTCACCATCACCCCAGCCAAGCACAACTTCACCACGTTGCCCCAGGGGTGCAGCAGCAGCCGCCCCATGTGCCGGTCAACCACCCAAACCACGTGATCAATCAGCGTTTGAACGCCATCAATCAGGTAAGGCGACAAGGGCGACCTTAGGGGTGGAATGGAGATAAAACTGAACGTTTGCAGGTTTCCCAGCTGCCGCCCTTGTACTCCAAGCAGGCGCAACTGCACTCGCCCCAGCTGCATTCTCCCAGTTTGCAGCAAGTCAATTCGCCGCAGCTGCCGTCGCCCCAACCGCCTCAGTTGCACAATGCACAAGGGCCGCCCAATCAACTGCATCTGCAACCAAATCAAATCAGTCCTGCGGTAAGTGGTTTCGGGTTGGATTGGATTTCCTGATTTCCTCTTTTGGTGATTAGCAGGCGGTGAAACCGAAGCAGCCAAGTCCGATCCCACAGCAGGCGAAAAATCAGCACGCGTTAAATCAGCAGCTGTACCAACAGCAGCAGCAGCAGCAGCATTTTCAACATCAGCACCTGCTGAACCAGCAGGCCCACAAGCAGCAAACTGTGCCGACTGTCAATCAGCAGCTGTCGCAGGCCAGAAAGGCCCATTTGTAAGTAGCGAGCGCAGCGGGAGAACCCGGAGACTAGTTAAGGGTGTGTTTTGCAGGATCGAGTCCCAGTTGGTGGTTGACCAGCAGGGGGCGACCAACCCAAACGTGCATCAGCCGTTCAGGGATAAACGGGACGCCTGCATTCGCCTGATGCGCTACCATTGCCTGGACCAGCCCGTTCTGTCCGAGCAGGACCTGCACAAGGCGGACGAGAACTTCGAGCTCAATGCTCAACATTACATTACAAAGTTCGATCGGATGATCGACAAGTACAAATACCTGCTGATAAAGGAGAGCATGGTGAGTGCGACTTAGGGAGGTTTCAACGGGCAGTCGCTCAAGTGGTTTTATTTGCAGAGGCACGTGCAAACCTCGGAGCTGATGATGCTGGACCGGATGTTCCTGGCCGATGAGCAACAGTCCTTGATTAAGCTACGCCAGGACTATGAAGCCGAGTACCTGAGCCTGGTTGCTGACCCTACGCCAAACGCAGCTGCGCAAGACAAGGAGGCAACTGGTCAGCAACACTCACAGGTAAATGTCGGGTTGCGGAAAGACTGGGTTGTGGTACAATCGGATTTTTGCAGCAAAATGAGACTGAGTCGTGCAATGAGGAGTACGACGAGTGGGCGTGTATCCAGCGCGAACTGGGCTGTTTGTCCGATCTGAACCATCACCCACAGCACCCGTCCAACAATCATCATCACAGCATGGGAGCGCAGTCGGCCACCCAGTGCACAGCAGCACAAAACCAGTACAACAGTCTGAAACGCACGTCGAGCAGTGATTCGCGGCTGGAAACGTTGAAGCGGTTTCGCGTGGATAAGCACACGAAAAAACACGAACCCCTTGTAATCAGTGGCGGTGTACAGTGTAGTGGCAGTGTGATGGGAAAAGGATCGCCAGGGATGCACAACCAATCAAAATGCGGCTACGAGTCGAATTCCTCGCAGGCCAATAGTAGCTACAGCAGCTACAAGGAGGAGGAGTCGGAGAATAATAGCATCGATGAACAGGTGCAGAGTGCCATCAACAGCATTCTGAATTTGCAGCAAACGCAGCTGCAGCAACAGAACAGCCTGGATCTGGACAGTATACTGTCATGACGCCATCTGGTATAGGTCGAAGTAAGTGGTTAAGTAAGTAGATAGTAAGGATGCGCCCCCTCCTTTTTCCGGAGCAAGTGCTTCCTTGGTGAGGCTCAAACGGCTTGGTAGGCGGCGGGCGGGTGGCGGTCTCTAACGGCAGCTAAAGACTTGAGGTGTGATATTAATAAACCTTCGGTGAAATTAAATGAAACTAGCATTGTGATATTGTAAGTAAGTTTATTTAGATTTAAACTGAACTGCTAAATGTTATTTATTCTATTTATTGACAGGACCGCGTATGTGATATGGCGGTCACTCTATGTTTGTTCTGATTGGTCATAGCCTGCTCCCGCCCCGCCCTTGCCAGCTCGCTGTCGCACAAGATTAATGTACAAACACTGCAAATTATTCACTAAAACTGTGTCAAGCTAATAATGAAATAGTCGCTATAGAAAACTCTGTTAAGGTTTAAAGTTGTCGCAATCGTCTAGAGTGGAGTAGTTTTCCCGGTTTTTCATTTTTTTTTAATTCACTCCCGCGGTCACAGTGATGACAACAAATGCCACAGCAATAACTCTTGATCTAGTTTCGCCCTGAATATCCACATTATACATGGTGACTCAAAGTCAAGTCACAACAATGACCTCGTGAATAGGTGGTTATTTTATACTTTCAGCTCTTAAAGACCGGTGGTTTCGCGTTTTTGGAGCGCCTTTTTCGTGTGGAAAACAATGGGTGCGTTCAGATTTTTTATTTTCTGCAGTTTGGCCATTCGGGGTGAAGCCGGACTGAGGGGGTACTATTTTTAATTTGTACCATTTTTAACGCTTAACACAGGGCCGTCGGCCTTTACCCCACACATAGACACCCTTTATCTAAAAAAAAAAAATTAGGAGGGAATGGAAAGTTTATTTGTTTTAATATGGAATTCGACAAAGAAGGCATGGAATACTTTTTTTTTAATTAAACTTTTTATTAAGAAACACTGAAAAAATCGTCCAACTTCACCCCGAACGACGATAAGTGATTCGCGAGTTCAGCTACCGATGGTGGTGGCGCTGCGAAACGTCAAATTACTCGTTGTCGAGTGACAGTTGAGACTTGTCAGATTCGTTTATTTATTGGAGTTGATGACATTTACAGACATTTGGATTTGATGAATTCAAACAAATTTAAGGTTCAAGACAGCAAAGACCTAAAAGAACGTGCATGTTTGCATGTTTACCAATTATGAGTTTGTGAWWATTWGWAATCYRATKATGACGCTGTTGCCTCACCGAAACGTAATGAAATAACCGATATTCAACATTTTTACTTCGCACTTTGTCTGAGACCCAGGAAGGATAAGAATATAACTTTTCCATCTGTTTGTATTTCTTTAAAAGCTTGCAAAAGTTGAACTCGCGAATAACTTTTCGCCCTAAAGGCCCCCCTGGTGGTTAAAATTATAACCACGTTAACTAGTAATTTGACACTTGTTTTGTTGACATTGGTGTTTGTGATTTGTTTCGTTCTAATGAACTTTTGCGAGATTTTAAAGAAACATTGAAGCAGATCAAAAAGTGTGTAAGTATTGTTTTATGTGATGTCATCAACTCTAAGTTGGCAACTCTCAACTGTCACTCGACAAAGAGTAATATGAAGTTTTGCAGCGCCACCATCGGTAGTTGAATTCGCGAATAACTTGGAATATTTGCTGCTCGACATTTTCTACGTCAGTGGGGCAAAAAAAATGTTAACCCACCATTTTCCACAGGAAAACGCTGCTTTAAGTCTGCAGGTTTTTGATAAAAATACGCGCATGTATTTCTGTCCTTAATGGGGACAAACTGAAACTTTGAATCACCGTGTAAAAGTTGGGTTGGATTTATTACAGGGTTGCACTTGATGAGTGAACGCCATCCTGGACATGTGCCCCCAGTGCGGTGTTTCAGTTCGCTATTTAGCCGATGTTTCGACTAATTTCAAATTGGGGCATCAAATTGCCTAAAGGAACCGATTAGAGTCAAGGGGCCCGCCAATTTTAATAGATTGTTAGTCATCAAGGTATTGTTTCTCTTTTTTACGTACGCCCAGTATTTTTAAGCATCATTTTATCTGTGTTCATCTTACATAATGTGTATGTAAATAATATCCGAGCGTAGCGTCAGTGTATAAAGATAGGCCACTTGTAAATAATTTATTAATTTATGTTGTACTTAGTGGTTATTTTTATTTTGTAAGTTTTTTTAATTATTAAGACTGATCTTTGATGAAATTTTGGTTCCTAACAATGGGAAATATTTCAAATAAAAATGATTGTTTAAATGCTGGTTGTCTGTTGTAGGAGTGCCGATCCATTCCCAGTTGACGCTTTATGTCGCTAGAGCGCAAGGTACGTTTAAGCCAGCAAAACACTAGTGTTTTAACACAAAACACTGAGAAAAGTGCTGTTAGTGTTTTGACTCACGGCGTCTGTTTGCGTTCAGTCAGACAAGTCTTGTCTCTGGTTCAGTTGACAAATATGGCGACCAAATGTCACCCGCTGGTGAATGTCTTGTTCGTTTTTATGGGTTTTTCGCCGTGAAATGGTGTTAAAGAGCGCAAAACCAGCTGTGCAAGTAAGTACCTGTACCCGTTCTAATTTACACAAAAAAAACTGCCGCGCCCGACATGTTTGAAGGAAAATATCGCAACTAATGTACAACTAACCCAACTTCAGAAGAAATCACACTGTTACAAAATCGACTTTTATATTTTTGAACGGTTGCTATATACAATTCGCAGTACATGGTAACAATAAGGTCCAGCCGCTAGAGCCCTGAATATCGTTTATCACATCGGTAAAACCGCTCAGCGCTGAGCGCTCAGACATCAACTGATCACGTCCGATTTGCCCACTATGAAGGCCGGGTTGCGCAGTTCGGAGTCCGAGCTGGAAAACAGCAATGTTTAAACATGCCCGACTCAGCGCATGCATTACTCACTACTACGCCCTAGAATACTAGGGGTCTACATAGGTCTAGGTTAGTACACGTAAGTGTTCCGTACATCCGACGGTTTCATGCTGCGAAGAAACAGTGTTTGTTAGTAAAGAATGGCCTAGAATCAAACAAGCCAACTAACACACCAAGCAACATACCCGAAACATCAGCTTTAAGCATTGAGTTCACTGTGGGACAGACATTGAGTTGAGTGAGAGGCGGACGACGGCGCGGAAAACTCACCTGGAGTAGCTGATCGGGCTGACGCCAAGGTTGGCGTCCTGGGATGTGCCAATGACGTACTTCCTAACCAGATCGTACTGCAACAAGCGCGTGCTTCCCATGGAAATGCTCATGTGAACGACCAAGTAGACGCAGAAGAGCAAGTAACACACGCCCAGCACTCCAATGCCAGTCAGCGACAGCCAGTGCAGCGAAAACTCCTTCACTGTTGCAATCACTGTGTAGGTGTTGATGCAAATGACCACCAAGCTCAGAAGAGTGGCCATTACTTTGTTGGCTCTGAAATCGCCAAGATTGCAACCAACGCCGTCACTTGATCAACTCCACAACTCACAATCCGTTGACAAACTCGCCCATAATCTGCGGATTGCTGGTGAAGGCAATGGTAGGAATAGCAGCAAACGGCAGCTGGATGCTCATGACGGCGTTCAGGATATCATTCATGCTAGTCAGGTCGTTGATCGAGCTGAAAAAGGCCAGGAAAAAGGTGGGCACAATTGCAATTGTCCTGGTGAACAGCACCCGCTTCCAGCGCGCCCATTGGAGGTTGAGGAACCCCTCCATCGCAAACTGCCCGGCGTAGGTGCCTGAAACAAACCGGATGCAACGGGGAGTTTTGATGGGGCTTCGCCCCACTCACCGGTCATGGTAGAGCTTTGGCCAGCAGCTAGAATGCCCACTGCCCAAACGTACATGGCCACCACCCCGTACGTGCAACCCAAGAAAATGCCGCCCTTGTAAAGGTCGGCGTCCACGAATTTATTCGCCTCCGGTCCAGTGTCTGGGAAGACGGTGGCGTTCATCGATGGATACTTTAGGCACTCTTTATGCTGCAAAGGAAGAATGAATAAATGAGCCTGAGGGTAGAGGTGCTCTGGACCTACCACTTCGGCGTTGGTTTTCTGGAACAGGCCGTGAGCAAACACGGCCACCACGAAGACGTTGATGACGAAACTGACCAGCAAGGCGATGCAGGTTTCGATGAAAAAGTACAGGTTGGCGTCCCGGACTTTGGCCTTGTTGTTTCTGTCCACGTCCCTGGACTTGACCAGAGCGGAGTGCAGGTAGAGGTTGTGCGGCATTATCACCGCGCCTGCCAATAGGACATGGTGTTACGCATCTACCCTGAAGTTTGCGCTTTTGATCCCCCGTTTAGAACTTGAAACTTTCACAATCGAGAGAACGATCGTTGCTTCAAATCGCTTTCAGTTGATTGTGAACAGAAAACCAGAGCGTTTTGCTTCGTTAATCGAGTGAATAGTTTGCGTACCGATGATTCCAATGGCCTGTAAAAGGGCGCGTTGGTCGCAGCCACTGCACCAGGGGATGAACATTCCCTCCAAAACCCCCAGGCCGTTGGGCTTCGACGTCACATACTCATACCCAAAGGTAACCCCCATGATGGTGATTAAAAGGCCGAAGAAGGCCTCCAGCTTCCTCAGGCCGTACTTGTCGAACATCAGGAACGTGAACGTGTCGACGATCGTGATCAGAACGCCGCCGTAGATGGGAATCCTGCAAAATGCCTTTGAATGAAGCCACACAAACACCAATTATCAAGCTGCTAATCGCACTTCCGCTATCAGTTCCGCAAGGATTAGTGAATACACCTCAAGGTCCGCAAAGACTTACCGCGTGCCTGACAACAAATAGATGGCTATGGCCGTTCCAATCACCTCTTGCATATCCGAGCCAATGATGGCGATTTCGATCATCAGCCACAGGATCAGTCGCGGTACCTTCTTGTACTTTCGATAGCACATTTCGGCCAAATGCAGCCCGGTGACGACGCCTGGAAAGCAACAACAGCATGGATGTAAATCGGGCCGTTCGGACGGCCTCCAAACCTCACCGAGTCGGGCGGACAGGCGCTGCATCAGCAAGCCCAGCATGGTAGCGGATAGAAGCATCCAGAGCAACTTGTACTGAGCCACTGTGCCCGACTGCAAATCGCTCTCGATATTGCCTGGGTCCAGGTAAGCGATGGACATCAGGAAGCCTGGACCGGTGAAGGCCCACAGCTTCTTGAAGCTGAATCCATCCTGAACAGCGGGTTAGTTAGCGGCCGCTGGACGCTACTGCTGATTGGGACTTACATGGGACGCTTCCGGGATCCGGATGCGCTCATCCGCGAAATAGGTCTGACCGGCTAAGAGGGTGGTTTCGCTGGCGGTAGCGCCAGGGGGCTCGTTCACATTGGGGCTGCTGATGTTGTAGGCGGAGTTCACGTTTCCGGCCTCGCTGGGGCTGTACGACCGCCTGGGCATCTGAAAGCACAGTCCTTAATAGATAAAGTTAGTTGAGTTTAGGTGGGCCAAAGTTGCAACATTCTGGAACATAGCATTTGATTTTTGCGCTAGCTTAAAAATTTGGGACACCGTGTATCAAGCGCGTCATCGATCTCAAAAACTTGCGGCACCCTGTATATTGCACACTGCTTTTCCACATTTTTGCGATAAAGAAACCAGTCATTGATGAACATTGCGAAAAACCGCTTTGAGAAACATGGGCATTGGGGAAAAATCATGGCGACAGTGTTGCAACAATGCACGAAAAGTTGCATTGTGAATGAAATTCGCGCTCCTGTAAGCAACGGCTTTCGCAACCGATTTGGGCCAGTATAGCTTAAATTGTCCCTTTCCTTTTTTCCATTTAGTCATTGTACCGCTCAATTTGTCAAATAACGTTAAAGGCGACACTTACTTGCTCGCTTTATCCAAATTAATTTGATTAAGGACATCAGTAGGAAAAAAGCGGCAACTATGAGTTGTGTGCATCTCCACTAGCCGCACGCTGTTGCCGCAGGCGCGAAAAAATCAACAGCCCACTGGCATTGACACCTAGCAACGCCTGTATTTGCAGCGCTTGTTGCCATAAAGGATCGGAATTATTTCCAAATTCCACAAAATATGCGGCAGCACTGCCAAATGCCCATTTAGCACATGAAGCAAAACTGCCAGGTCAGGCGACTGCGTTCGCTAATTTGGGTTTGATTGTTCGAACAATTCGAGGTTTTTCTGCTACAGAGACGTAATGTTGACATTGTGTGGCATGTAAAGGGGCTGAGATAAATTGTGCGAAAATTCAACCCCCCAGGGTCGCATTTAGGCGGCCGAATTGCAAATGCTGCGTTCCCAATTTTGAACTGTGTTTTTTATCAGCTTGCTCGATCTGCCATTAAAACTTAAAACAAGCTAGACCTGTGTTGTTGCACTTGACCAACACGTATTACTATAAATAGACAGAGATATTGGCGCAAAACCACACAAATCGGCCATAAACCACAAGGAAAACCCCATTTGCTCACCATGATTGCGAACTTAGCTTTTACACAATGCGAAACTAGCGCACTTTTTGCTGCATTATTCCCACTTGAAACGTGAACTTGTTAGGTAATTGAAGCGATTTATTAGCTGCAAAGTTTGGTTATGGCTCAGGTAATGAACAGGTAAATAGGAATGGTGATTTTTATTCATGGGAATCTGTGTCGAAGTTCTGAGAGTTTAGCGGATCTCTCACTCGCACACACGGCCCTTTAAAAACTATCCATGATCGCTCTGACTGCGGGTGCTGAGCAGGATGGGAAACGATTCGGGAGAATATGGATTTTCAGCTGGAGGGACTGGTTTTCTCTGCTCGGGGCATTGGACAGACAAGGACAGCCATACAACTTACGCACTGTCGAACTTACCTTGTAGTGTTAGGAAACTTTCAGATGTTTACAAAGTTCATTGGCACATTTGAAAACGCGCGCGGTTGGTGCGGATTCGCAACTAATCATGAGCGGCGGTAGTCTCAGAGAGCGCTTTAGTATTGGTGGAAAAATTCCCCCCCACCTTTGGCGCATTAACAATTTGCGCAAAACTCCACTCTATGAATTGCTTTATTAATGCACAACGCCCACAAAATGCTGATAAGATGAATTATTTCGGTTTAATGGCAGCGATTTAAATTAATGTTTCGAGCTAATCAGATTGTGATAAAAAAATTCCAGGTAGGTATCAGGTCAACACGACGGCTTTTTTTATATTTCTACGTAGTTGCGGTTTTTCACCTGTTTCACGGTTTATTTTGCGCACCCAGTATAAGGCACTGGTAGGTTTGGATAAAGCAAGATTGAATATTGGGAAATTTTCTTGATAACCTTGCAACGCATTTCCAGTGAATCCCATATTGTTTGCTAATTTCGCGCAGGAAACGTGACTAGAATTCGAACAGGCAAGCACAATAACAGAAAATGTTAAAAAGTAATTCCCCATTTATACAAGGTCGTCGGTAAATAGCTCCATAAAGTCTTGTTCGAGCGCGCCTTGTAAACGCAGGTACAGAACTGGAGGGTTTTGCTCAACTGCAGACTCTTTAAAAAGTCGTAAGTTGCAATCCAGAGTAGCCATTTGAAACTGGCGCACCCTATAGAAGACACTTTGCTCTTCAAACGCTGAGCGTTTTAAGTCCCAAGCGGATTTTGTCCTGGAAATCGCTTCCTTTCGTCCACTTGTGGCTTATGGTTGGAGATTTAGAAAACCGTCTTATTTTCCTCTTAGAATCTTGTCTTGAAGAAGTCTACCATATGGTTAATGTCGCCCCAGAAAAATGCCAATATCAAGAACATCAGGAAAATTATGCTCTCTATAGGAAATCACTGTACCAACAATTTTTCTTCGTGGCGTTTTTTCCATTTTTTGGCCATTGAAATTCACGACTTTTCCATCAGCGAGCAAAGAACGCTATCATAGTTCGCACTTATGCCACACGCACAAAAAATTTAAAAAATCCCACCAGGCCCTTATTTTATTCGGCGAGCGATCATCGATTCTACAGATCACAGAGTAACCTCTGTGATCTGTGCTCCGATTATGTCACTTGCTCTCATCAACATTCAGTATTGCTATTGTCTTTATCTATGTTCGGTTTATCGGTTGACAGGAATTTTGTTGCTCGGTTTCACTAACCCAACTTATTTGTTTTGTTGACGTGTTTGAATGGGGCCTATAAAAAGGACTCATTTTTGCCTCGCACAGAATAGATAAGCCGACAATGTCGGATAGCAAGGTAATTTTGGTGACTGGCGGGTCCGGTCTGGTTGGCAAAGCCATTCAGACCGTCCTGGAAAGCGATGCAAAAGGCGACGAAAAGTGGATATTTGTTGGCAGCAAGGATGCGGATTTGTGGTGGGTTTTGTCTAAATCTCATAATCCCCTGTGCCGACGTGGGTGCGGAATTCACATGTACGTATGCAGGTTTTGATTGGTGTTTTCCATTGCAGCGACTTGAACTCTACGAAAGCCCTATTTGAAAAACACCAGCCAACTCATGTGATCCATCTGGCTGCAATGGTTGGGGGACTGTTCCATAACATGTCCCACAATCTGGATTTTTTGGTAAGGACGATTCAGCGTTCACTGAACTAGTTAAGCCGTTTTTTGCTTTGCAGATGAACAACATCCACATGAACGACAATGTGCTGCGGCTGAGCCACGAAACGGGAGTGAAGAAAGTGGTGTCCTGTCTGTCCACTTGCATCTTCCCGGACAAAACCCAGTATCCCATTGACGAGACAATGGTAGGGAATTGATGGGGTGACGTTTCTCGCGGCTAACCCTTAGCTTGCAGGTTCATAACGGTCCGCCGCATCCATCCAACTTCGGCTACAGCTACGCAAAGCGGCTAATAGATGTGATGAACCAAGCCTACCATAATCAGCATGGGTGCACGTTCACTTCCGTGGTGCCTTGCAATGTGTTCGGGCCCCACGACAACTACAACCCCGAATCCAGCCATGTTATACCCGGGCTGATCAAAAAGCTTCAAGACATCACCAGTGCAGGCAGGTTGCGTTATTGGGGGTTTATTGCTTGGGTACATTTGTCTTGTTTCAGGCGGCGATACTTTCACAGTTATGGGCACCGGGAGGCCTTTGAGGCAGTTCATTTACTCGCTGGACTTGGCCAGGCTGTTCATCTGGGTGTTGAGGAGCTACAACGAAATAGACCCCATCATTCTCTCGGGTAGGCCTTGAAGATTCTCCAGCCGTTTTGAGGTTTATTCTGTTTTTTTTGTAGTGGATGAGGAAGCTGAGGTGTCCATCAAGCAACTAGCCGAGGAGCTGGCCAAGGCCTACGATTTCAAAGGAAAAATCGTGTTCGATACCTCGAAGGCGGACGGGCAGTTTAAAAAGACCGCCAGCAACAAAAAGCTGCGAAAGTACCTGCCTGATTTCCAGTTCACTCCATTTCCGCAAGCCATCAAGGAGAGCGTGGACTGGTACAGGCAGAACCACGCCAGCGCCAGGAATTAGCTCCAGCCTAAGGTAAATGTTTTCTCTGTTTACGTTTTGTTTGTTGCAATAAAAGTGGGATGATTCCAAAAGCCCCATTTCCCTACACCACTGGCGTGGTCGTCCCAGCCAAATCGCTTAGCCGATGTAAACAATATTGCGCCCAATTAATTTAACGGCCGTTTAATTAAAACTTATAATTAATGTGGCATGGCGGAGGCCAGCTCTTAACTCATTTTTATATTGGCTTGATGAATCACATATCGCAGCCATGATGGCATGTGTCGGAAGTTAATTCTAACAAACGTTTCGAGAGCTATTTATATATTTATTTATACACAACAAGAATTAATTGAGGGCTTATTGATGATGGTACAGCTCGCCGGCGTTGGTTATTCGGATGGTTTGCATGGCGTCCGAAGCAGGTCCGAGCAGGATTTGCTGGCACTCGTAGGTTTGCGTGTGAAAATCCTCTAGAGGCAGGATTTTCTGGAAACCGCCACATTTTTATATGCCAAGCGTGCTTGCTGAGCGACTTACTTACCTGGTATTTTTTGTGAGAAATGCAAAACGTGCACACCTGCCTTGTCGGGGAGCTGGAATTTGAACTGTCCTCGTCATTCTGATTTAAGCGCAAGCATGGTTGGTCGATCGGACCTGCGGAACACACCAATCAGCCAAAATCAGTTTTACCGCATGGCTGCGGTTTATTGAGAGGCAGAACGGTTTCGGGTGCTACTGATAAGGTTTGCACAGTTTTCTACGCCACTGGCTTTATGAAAAGGCGGCGTTTTTTGGGAAATGAAAGCGCGTTTAGTCAGAGGCTCTAAGGTCGAGTGTTTTTTAGTAAAGTTGCAACCTATGATGGGATAAGGCGCCTTTTTGCGTACAAAACCCTTTTGTTCAGTGCGGGACGACATGGAGGGTGAATGATTTTTCGCACCCCAGAAATTAACCCACAAGTTCTTGTAAAATTTCAATCCTAGTATCCTACAACACCCTGTATATGCCCACCGCTTTTTTCAAAAATAGAAACAAATTTCAAATGTATTATGCAAAATTCAAGTGATCCGGAAATTGCAATTTCTCCATAAATAAATTAAATAATTAAATATGAATATTGGGCACAAGTTGCCTATAGCTGTCTCGCTTCCGCGTTGTTTGCCTCTCTTTTCCAGTCGATGGCAAAATCGTTGCTCTCGTATTGGCCTTGGAAAGCAATGAGCATCGGCTGTCATTTTGAACGCGATGTGAGTGTTCAGTGCGGTTGAAAGGATCAGATGCTCAGAAAATCCAGCTATCTCAGCGATAAACGGTGTTTGAGTGATGAGGACATTGAGGGCGATCGGTAAGTTTTGAAAATTTTCTTATAGCATGCGATTGGGCATGGAAAAGCCGATTTATATTTTTGACGTTTTCAATCCTACCTTTGCGGTACCATTTCGAATAGAGCAACGCTTAAATCCGGGTATTTTGAGGATAAAACCACCCACTCACCTGCTACTAGTTGGGTACCAAGGTGGGAAATGTAGCTGGACGCCAGGCGTAGAGTCTCGATTTTGCTCAGTTTCCGGTCCTTCGGTTCGGTTGGAATGAGGGTTCTCAGAGTGGAAAACGCGGTGTTCACACTGAAACCGTAGTTACTTTATTTAAATCAAAAGCTGATCTTTTGATGGAAGAGCGCGAATTTTACGCAACAGTTGGGGGGTTCAGTGTGATGTTTTAGGTCGTAAAATACCTGTGTGTTCTGTCGCGTTCCCTAGCATTGGCTTGACTTCGCTGCTTCATAGGAGTAGGAAAACCTTGATTGCAACTGCCACTTTTTTTCCGTTTCATGATATTTTGCCTGTTGTTGCTCTTCGTCAGCAAAACTGCCGGCTGTGCCAAATGCGCGTAGTCTGAATATTGCAAAAAATCCATTCTGAAATCAAACTTTGTCACTTAAACCGATCTGAATCAACCACACATACGCGCGCTCTAAATGGCAATAGTCCGGCGTGAATAACGAATGTTTCGCTTCTCTGGCTTGGTTTCCACAAGCGGACTAAGCCGAACCACAGGCGACAAGTGTTTGAACACATTGACGAGATTCTTATTCATAATAAATTCAGATGTGGTGCTCTGGATCGGCTTGAGAGAAAGGAATGGCAAATTTTGCGTTTCATTCCATGTTTGGAGGATTTTTTTGGATTTTTGTATCCTAAAAGTTTTTGGATTCAGTTTGTTCTGGAACTCCCTTGTATAATGTAACTTGTGTTGTGCCAGTGGCGTAGATTCTGGAGCGAGTGGGATTGAAACTGGGCAGTTTTTCGCCCGTGTTCCATGCATCCGTTTGTACGATGATACGATGGTACGAAAGTGTTTCTATTGGTTGGAGATCTGTCAATTCGGCCTCCGTTCGTCAGACGGCGGACGAATTGACAGAGCTCCAACCAATAGAAACACTTTCGTACCATCGTATCATCGTACAAACGGATGCATGGCACACGGGCTTTAGATGTGTAAATGCGATATGGTGAGCCAAGTTAATGTGTTTTGTCGAGGCGGCAACTTACCAGTGAGTCAATTGAGCAACAATCAGCAAAACAAGCAGCAAAACTGCAATCATTTCGGGTCAATCCCTTAACCCACCTAAACCCAGGTGGATTTAAGACTGAGGCTGCGCTCCCGTGCCGCCAAGATAATCTTTATCTTATCAATTGGAGTGAAATGTGCCATCAAATCGCCCGTAAAGTCAGTCAAATATTGACAAAAACCCAGTCAGTACCAGCCGGTTTGTTGCTATTTTAAGGTAAGTTTGAAAAGTGCGTGGGGCAGGTGGGCGAAGCGCCCCCATGACTCACGGTAAAGCAAATACTTGTTCGATTCGGGCAAATCAAATTTGCGAGGGGAGGAAACGTATTGCTTTACGCGGTATGCGCCTTATGGGGGCATTTTCCCAAGTGGCGATGTTCCCAGCGTGGGGCGCGTGCCTAATCCGCAATAATAACGCTCGCATTGTCCCTACTACTGCGCCCAGTTAAGTGATTTTTCTTTTAGTAGATCTAGGGAAAAGCGGTAAATTGCGAACGCAGCCCTTGTTACAGGTGTAAATGAAAATCTCCATAGTCAACCAGGTTTTTTCGGTCGGGATCCCCGTTCTGTATACAGGGTGTCCCGTGAGCACAGCTGTTATTCAGAATAAATATCTGGCCCCTCTGCTATTGAGGGCAAAGCCGAAAAAAAAAAGAGTTTTTTGATACATCGGGAGAATGACTCTTAAGGAAATTCGCTCGATTTGGGGCGATTGTTTCCGCTACAGGGCGCTTTTGCACCCTCGAGAAACCTGTCCATGGCTATTCACCTCATCAGGTCCGAATGGGGGCGTCCCCGTCCCCCCATATGCCAATTCGGCATTAGTTTCCGATCGGGCCAGGGGGGTGAATGACTTGGCCACATTCTGTTCGTGTTCGTGCGCCACCGAAACAATTAATGTGAGGGTGCAACTCCGGTTGTGCTGTCTGGAGGGTGAGTCACCCCTACCTGTTGCCACTAATCCTCCATCTTCCATTAAACCATCAAAAACGGCCTGTTTTTGGCCGCCTAAAAGCCGACACCCTGTAGAGTAGATTGCATATCATGTTGGCCTCGTTTTGGCACAATGTCCATTCTTCCAGATGTCGCATACGCGCCTGTTTTGGTAAGACAATGAGCGTCTGCCTTTGTGCTGGAAAGTCGGATATCCGGCCCTCCAACCGACAGCGCGGATGGCTTGGAAAGTGGGCGAAACTGGATACGATTCGGTTTTGTTGCAGGTGCCTAAACACGCTCAACATGGAGGGCGACGGCGTCCAATTGGAGTTCCTCTGGGGGTGTGAGACGCCGCCATGGCGGTGCTGATGCGGCGTCTGCTCATCGATGCTCAGGTGAAACGACAGTTTTTGCAGCTTCCACTGCCAACTAGGGGAGCGAAAACTTGCAAAAACCCAGTCCAAAGTTCAGTGAACGGTTCTGGAGCTAATGGGAGTTTTTGCAGGCAAAGCTTCGCAGAATGGTAGAAGAACATTCCTCCTCCTTAGCCGCCCGGATAGAATCCGATTACCCCAGTCCGGCCCCCGTTCCCTTTTCCAGCCCCGCTTGCGCCGCTCAGGAGGCGAAAATCGCCGACGCTGCTGACGTGCCCGCCCCTACGCTTGCGCCCGCCCGCCGCGATTTGCTGAAAACGCTGTCAACTGACGCCGACACTGCCCAAACCAGTGGCGTTCCTGCCGTTAAATTGAAGAACGGCGGCATCCAAGAGACGCGGCGCAGCCAGTCTTTGAACATTTCGGTGGACTCCAACGACGAAGTCAACAAGGTGAGAGTGTGATCCACCGTCCAGATTTTTCCCTACAAGGCCGTTTATAGAGGGACGTCCACAAGACCAGATCGGATCCAGTGAAATGCGATTTGGAGACTGAACCGAACAGAGAAACAATGACAATACAGCAGAGCGCCAGTCCTGTCAAGGACAGCCGCTCCTCACCAGAAAACCAGCGATCCGATTCGCCCAAGCCCGGATGTAGCAGCCAACCAGATATGGGTAAAACCCTAGCCAAAAAAAGCACTCTAATATTATTCAATCAATTGTCGAAAAATTACAGACTCGTCCTCACCACGATCGGCCAGAAGTTCCGAAGGAGGCAACCCGGATGATCTATTGGCGCTGCTGCCCTCTCCATCGAACTTTCCCAAGTCTTCCTCGGTCATCAGGCGACTGCGGCAGGACAACGACAGGTAAGCGTTGGTGCGGGCGGGCTAGTTGGCCCATTCGGGCGCATCTGACGTCAGTCAGGGCGATCAACAGAAAACCAACTCAGACAAGGAAAGAGCGACTTTGGTGTACAACGAAAAGAGACAGACAGGAGAGTGACAGCGGGTGCACCCTGACGGATCGCCCAACAAAACCGATTGTCCGCACCAACAATTTTTACCACTTGCAGATTGCAAGCCGAAGTGACTCGTTTGCGGCGTTTGGTAGTATCGGGCGCCAGTGGCATCCTCAGCGAAAGAAAAGCGCCTGCTGAGGGCGCGAACAGCGACCCGCTCGAAATGGAGTTGCAACTGGCCAAGGAAGCGCTAACAAGTAAGTCTGTTACTACTAAAGAATGAAGCCATTTGAAATGCGTGCGGGTTTTAGCTCTGAAGGCCGACAAGCGCCGATTGAAGGCCGAGAAGTTCGATCTGCTCAACCAGATGAAGCAGCTGTTCTCCACGCTGGAGGACAAAGAGAAGGAGCTGCGCGATTTCATCCGCACCTACGGGCAGGTAGGGCGACTTGAGCCATCCAGCGTGGCGACTGGACTACCGATTTTTGTTGCTTAAGCGGGTGAGAGACGAAACGTCGCTGCAGCAACTGTCCACCGAACGGGAGGAGCGGGAGAGGGAGCGATGGAGCCTCTTGAGACATGCCAGAGACGAAGCCGAGCGCAGCCTGTCGCTGGCGGCCCAACTCAACGCCAAAGAACTGCAGCTGCAGCAGGCTCAGGAGCAACTCGCCGAGGTAGTTAACGTTAAGTTAGTAAGTAAGCCACTGGATTGATGCGGTTGGTTGAACAGGCGCGGCGACAATTGGCTGCAGGCGGTTGCCTCTCCGACCAAGAGTCGTTAGCTTCGCTGCCCCGCCACAGCATCAATGGGGGCGCCCTCACTCCAGGCTCAGGGGGGCTGCTGTCGGGGCACTTGGGGCTGTTGCCCGGAGACCGGGGGAGCTGCAGTGCGGACTCGGGGGTGCGCGTCAGCTCCGACCGGGAGAGCGGAGGCGCCACCTCCATAACCGGCAACTTATCCGACTCCACCACAGATGGCGCCCCGACAATCACCGTGGAGGGAAGTGCTCGTGACGTGGACTCAGTGTCGCTGCTGTCCACCGTGCCCCCACCCCCTGCCCACATGTACCAATGTGAGTTTCGGCGCGGTGTTGCCCGAGTTCCAACTAATCCAGGACTTTGCGTTGCAGCCGCCTCAACCAAAGACTGTAGTCCGACTTTGTCGCCCCTCAATGCTAACAATTTCCCCAGAACTGTAGTCGATCCCAGTAGTTTATCCAGGTTGGTTGGACTTCTACTAACACGTGGTCGGGTAGCTAGATTTTGGGTTTGTTCGGGTTCAGTGGGGTTCGCTGGACTGGAGAATGTTTCGTTTGCAGGTCGGTGGAACAGCTCAGTTCGCCCTTGGACCAAGAACCAGTTACCGTAGGGAAGCGGCACAAGCAGCCCAGCAGACTGTCGACGCGGGGCGGGACTTGGGGCAGCATCTCCAGGGTGTTCGCCCGGTCCAGGCACAGGAACAAGGCGAACTCGCTGCAGGAAACCAGTAAGTGCAGCAGGTGGTAAGGGTAAGAGGGCTGACGAGGCGGCTTTCAAAGGCGAAGGCTACGAGCCCTACCGCAGCTGGTCGCCCCTGACCGAGGAAGGCTACGCGGAGAAGCTGCGCCTGCTTCGAGAGGCCAGCTCCATCCCCATGGAGCGATGGAGGGCCCCCACGGTCCTCGCCTGGCTGGAGGTGGCCTTGGGCATGCCCCAGTACGGCGCCCGATGCGCCGAGAACATCAAAAGTGGCAAGGTAGCTTAGCGCACTGCAGTGTGAAACTCTAGGGAATGTTCTTTGATCTGTACCTAAACCGTTGTGGTCGCGGCAGTGAAATTGATTCAGGAACCATCCAAACTAATTGGCTTGTAGGAACAAGTTGCATATTTCGGAACATCCTTATAGATTGGTCGTTTGAACGGGCAGGTCCTGCTGGAGCTGAGCGACCTGGAGCTCGAATGTGGACTGGGAATCTCGCATCCGATGCATCGCAAGAAGATCCGGCTGGCCATCGAGGAGCATCGGCATCCCGCACTCGTGCGCTATCCGTGCATTGCCCAACTGGGCCACACCTGGGTGTCCAGCGAATGGTTGCCAGACTTGGGACTATCCCAGGTGGGTTAATTTGTAAACTAGCCGCTCCCTATCGGACGCATTCTTCTCGTCCAGTACTCGGACAACTTCGCCTCGAATATGGTGGACGCGCGAATGCTGGAGCATCTCAGCAAAAAGGAGCTGGAAAAGTACCTGGGCGTGACTAGGAAGTTCCACCAGGCTTCCATAGTGCACGGCATCCATCTGCTGAGGATAATGAAGTACGACCGGCAGGCGTTAGCGCTGAGGCGGCATCAGTGCGAGAACATGGACGCTGACCCGCTGGTCTGGACGAATCAGCGCTTCATCCGCTGGGCTAGGAGCATCGACCTTGGCGAGTACGCGGACAATTTGAAAGGTAACTGACCAATCGGCGGCGTTCTTCATTGCCATTGGCGACTGTGTCTGGTTTGGTTGTTGATAGATAGCGGCGTGCATGGGGGCTTGGTGGTGCTGGAACCTTCGTTCAACGGAGACACGATGGCAACAGCGCTGGGAATACCGGCGAGCAAGAACATCATCCGGCGCCATCTCACGGCCGAACTGGAGGCTCTCGTGCTGCCCGCCAGGTATGTGATCTTCTGCCAAATGGATGAGCTCCAGGCCGAGGCAGCCCGAGTCATCTCGAAACACAATCGATAAACAATCAGTTGTTGCCAGTTTAGCGTGAATTATACGTATTACCTCTTGCTCTGAATAGCCCACAAATCTTCACCACAGTCTCTTCTAGAATATAGAGCGGCTTCTATGAAGAAAGTGACTCGTTACCTGTTGCTATTCAATGTCGTGCCGCTATGGGATTTTCAGTGTGCTATAAATCCTGTTGCCTGATGTTTTTCGTAGCGGCGTCAAGTGTATAATCGGTGTTTCAATTCGAATTTTCCTTTGATTTATTTTCCAGACTGCGTGAAATTGTTATTATAATCTTTTCCTTCCTGGGGTTCAGTCAAAGTGTGAAATATTTTTTTGTATCGTCTATTGCATAACGTTTCGGCGAGACAACAGCGCCATCATCAGATTAAAAATTCATACAAACTCATAATTGGGAAATATTAGATTCTTTTAGGTCTTTGCTGTCTTGAAACCTCAAATTTGTTCGAATTATTGTCTGCATTTGCCTGCGTAGCAAATGTAGACAATAATTCGAACAAATTTGACGTTTCAAGACAGCAAAGACCTAAAAGAATCTAATATTTCCCAATTATGAGTTTGTATGGATTTTAAATCTGATGATGGCGCTGTTGTCTCGCCGAAAC